TTCACAAAATGGTGTTTACAATTAAGCGTTGAAATTATAATTATTTTTACATATAAATATAGCGTTCGCAGTTTAGAATTAACAATTTAGTGTTTATAAAATAGCGTTAAGTTATATATATTATGTTATATATAAACAAATTATAAACAACCATGAAATATTATTATAATATAAGATTATTTATTTGTTGTTATAAACAATAAATAATATAATAAAATTTTTACATTTTATATGTAAAAAACAAATATCCATTTTTTCTTTTTAGTCATTTCCTAAGTTTTTTTTAATTATTGTAGTTTTTCATTTTTTTCTTACTTGATAACTCACTTTCACTATTATTCATGTTAATCAAAGAACTGTTTATTTTTTTTCAAACAAATCCATTCTTTTGGTGAGATATTCTGATAATTCTTCGTTGTATTTATTATAGTAATTATTGGTTTGTTTTTTAAGTTTTCCATTAATAAAAAATTGAAGTCAACTTCAACTTTTCTTTCAACTTTTTAAAGTTTTTCAACTAAAACAAATGCGTTTGGGGTGTTCTGTAAAAATTTTCGGGAAAACGAGGAATGAAATGATTCACTCCAATTGTTCGTTTTTATCAACAAATCCAAATTTTGGTTCCATTTGGGTGGGATAACGTAAAATCTACATTTTGTTAAAATAAGTCATTATTATTTTCAATTGTCTTATTAAGTAATATTAATATAATTAAAAATAATAATGTTATTTAACTCGATTTATGAAAACTTTATTTGTGATCAAATTGTAGTATTTAATGTATAAACAACATTTTTTTTTAAAAAAAACGTGTATAATTAATATTAAAAGCCGCAATTTATTTAATCATAACAAATTTTACATAAGAAATATATTAGAATAATTATAATGACAAAAAATATCTTGCGCAAAGTAATTTTGACATTTTACTGTTTTGTGTTTTTATTTAATAATAAATTTAATTTAATTATGATTAAAAGTGTTGGTGTATTGATAATTTAAATTTTTTATTGTACAGATAACGGAATTAACAGGGACCACAGGAAAAACCAGGGACCAGACTAATTTTAGCTATTGAATATTAAGCGGATTTTATACAATAAAACGGGCAAATATATAAATAAATGTGTAATTTTCTTATTATTTGGGCTTAAAAACGGTTATTTTTCGGGATGAAAAAAAATGAATGTGTTGTATAAAGTATGAATAAACAACAGCTTAATGTAAGTTATAATCGTAAGTTTATTATTATTAATTATTATTTAATAATAAAATATTATTCTTTTGTTCAACCTTGTTTAATTTCAACACAACCATTCAATTAAATCGTTCATTCATTTTTTCAAAGAAGATGTTGTAGTCTTCTCTATTCAATGAGTAGAATAGAGAAGACTAGGTTGATTCAATGAGTCACTTTTCGTTCAGTATTAAAAGTGACTCACGCAATAAATGAAAATAAAATAAAGAAAAATAAATTGTTGGAATGTTAGACATTCAGTAAATGATGGATGATCATTAAACGTATTAAACAACGGAAGATAAATCAATATAAAGAACAAACTTTTCTTTGGCTCGGCTGGGCATTAACAATAGAAACAGCTTCAAATGATTAATTAAGAGTTTCATATTTTATAGTTTTTTCTATTTCATCTGAAAAATAGTGTGTCTATTAATACTTGGTCCCTGGTTTTTGAAAATAAACCAACATATCCTCCAAATACCTGATTATTTGGGGATTTTTCCATAACAAGGAAACTATTTACCAAAAATAATACGGCTTAATTTAGTCTGGTCCCTGGTTTATGATTTGGTCCCTGGTTTTTCCTGTATCTGTACATATTTTTATGTAAAGTGACTTCCCCAAGGTGTGCAAGTTAAAATTTTTAGTCTTTTTTATAGGGAAAAGCGTGCAAGACTAAATTTCAGTTGAAAAACATTTTATTAAAAAATGTTATTCGTTTCCAAATTGTTTCAAAAAACACACAACCCTTTGGTGCTTGAATGAATAAACTACAAAAAGCAAATCAAATTATAAAAAAATGGGTTATGGTTTGTCGATGTGTTTAATGTAAAAACTGTTTTGTTTCAAGACGTGAATAATTGTCAATGTCTCTTGTGTCATCGTGATTTAAAGCGACAAGAAGAAGTATGATAAACATTATGTTTTTCTCTGTGTTATTTTATAACAAACAATAACAAATAGTCTGTTTAATAGGCGCAGTTCATTGTTACAAATCGATCTGTTCTGTTGTCCAGAACTGGTCCTTCGATAATTTTTATTGGGTCGCTTTCCCGAAATTGTTGCTTAATTAATTGTATTCGAAGTGTGAAAGTTAAAAATTGCAACGTCACAATTGTACAAGTTAAAGTATAATTTAGTAATAACTTCAAAATTATAATTAATAATTAAACCAAAAATAATCTTTTTTTTCAAAATTTCAAAAAATGAATAATTCTATTTTTTTAAATAAAATATTATAAATGAACTATATAACTTGTACACTTTTAAACTAACTTGCACATTTTGAAAAATTACTTTAAATAAAAATATTTAAATTTGTATAATTACGTAAAAATAATAGTTGTGTTTGTTTTTTAATAACCATAAGTTATAATTATTTTTAATTAAATTTTAAATTGTATTATATTATTTATGTTACTATTTGTTTGAATAACTTTGAATATAATATGTTTACGATTTTGTCTTTGCACTTATAAAATTTTTAAAGCAATTTACTTGTGACCAAAATTAATAATTAAAATTTAACGCAATTTTATAACATATAAAGTCTGTTTTCTATTTTATTATATTTCAAACAATATAACAGAGAAAAGAACTAGACAGAAAATATTAAACCATAATTTACTATTCTCAATATCGCCAATTAAAAACCATTGACTATTAATAAAATTGTCATTTTAAAAAATTAAAACTAATGTTTAACAAATCCTGAGCATCTACTTTTTTCAAATTCATTTGTTGTCGTCTTCAATTGACCCAAATGATAATTTGACATGTCTGCTCTATCAAATAAGACATTTTATTCATTTTAAATAAAATGTCACATATAGTTTATTTCGTTATATTAACATTTAAAAACAAACATATTGTTCATTTTGGGTTTATATTTTTATGGTTGTAAAGAAATTTTATTTTTTTTAAATTAGAACACTTTTATAAAACAGAACAAAAAAAATAAAATACAAACCATTTTTTTGAAAACCCACTTTATTTTTATTATAAATTATAATACTATTATTATAAATAATAGTAAAAACCCAATATCGTTAAATAGAAAACAGACTTTATAATATAAATTGTTGAGTCTCTATACTACACATTTAAAAAACAATTCTGTTATTTTATATCAATGTCATTTCAAACTTTATTTGGTAAAACCTCCCAAGAAAGGTTCGTCTGAATGAGTACTTCACAAAAACAAGTTCACTTTATTCAGGAGCACCTTTATTCAACGTTTTTTTACAGTGTATTTTATTTTGTTTTTACAAAAAACAGAAAAAACAGATAAAATAAAAACAATTTTGTTTCTTGTTAAAGTTATAGTTTTTAAATTATAATTATTGGTTATATTAATCTACAACATTATTAACAGTTTGTATTATAATATAATAAAATAATTATTCAAAAAAATAAAACGATTGGTTTTAATTATCAAATATGAAACCCAACTCTGTTTCTTCCATCATTGTAATTTCGACTTTGTTTTCATTGTTTTCTTTATCTTTAATAAGTTGCAATAAACTCTATCTGGATTTTTTCATTGTTAAAGGGATTGTAACATTATTTTTGAAAACATTTCTGAATTTATCACATTCTTCTTCGTTATAAGTGTATGAATTGGTAACAATGAAATCAATTTTGTTTTTAATCTTAATACACTCATTATTAATTGTTTTTTGTGATTAAACAAAACTACAAATTTGTTAGTTGATTCATGTGCAAATATCACTTTAACACTTTCCATTTCTTCAAGTGTTTCAATAGGAGTGTAAAATTCAATTTTATTTAATGGTGGTTTAATTATAAATTCATCTTCTTGTGCGACTTCGATAAACACCGTTGACCAAGTGTCGATTTTTAAATGAGAATAAAGCGACTCCACCGCAATATAAACATTTTTTGTGTATTTTTTAATTAAACACTTATTTACATCAACAAAATGCCAATCATTAACAAATATACTTGCATCTGTTTCAGTTTTGATATTCACTATTTTGGCAGATGAGTCTAGGTAAAAAAGAACATCGTGTCGTTTGAATAACAACTCTTGTAGACATTTTTGTAATAACCACTTTTGATTTTTTCTATTGCTTTACTGTGTCCATGTGCTCCTTTTTCCACTTCTTTTTCTGTGTTTGCCATTTGAAGTTCAATTGCATGTATCCATATATGTAAACTTATTTTTCCTTTGCAATGTTCATTAAGAAATACATGAGAGCTTTCTGCTCCATTGCTGGTTCTTTTTGATAGTCCACAACAATTCCAAACAATTGGGGGTATTTTGCAGTATTAATTATATTATTAGGAATAAAATATTTTTCAACAAAAGAGCGTATGTGCGACAATGTTACTTTGTTTGTAATTTCCGAGCAATTGACAATATCTCGAACCAATTATGTTGTAATAAATTCTAAATATAAAAGTGGCAGCATGATTAACCTTCTGATTGTCCGATAAGTTGGAAAATCAAAATCAGCACTCGATACATCAAATAACGTTAACAGGTTGTAATTGGAAAAATTGGGATGTAGAGATTGTGTGAAATGAAAAAAAAAACAATGTATGGATTCCAAAGGAAGGTAATATGTCAATGCTTTTATGAAAGCGATTTCAAAGTCGACTCAAAATGTGATTTCTCGATGTAGTATTGAACATCCGCGAACATTTGCAAGGTTTTCAAGTAGCGAAAGAAGTTTGCTATACAATATACCATCCTTTGATTTGCATAAACAATATAGAAGTGGATAATATGTGTTATTAATTAAACCGTGAATAATATATAATTGTGAAAATCCAGAAGTGACACATGTAAAAGTGCCATCCTCAAGTTTAGATTTTGTACGTGATAAAATTTCGAATGCTCATTCTCTACTTAATATATATATTTCATTTGTAACTTCACCAAGATAAAGGTAATGCCCATTTTTTAATTCATTGAGTGTCATTGGTTTTCCTTCTTTTTTCATTGCCCTGGTTTTCGCATTGCAAAGAGCAGAAAGTTTCATTTCAGATTTTGTTTCATTTATTAACATTTTTGTTGATATCTCGGAATTATTCACACTGTATTTCACAAGACCATTTTTCTTTAGCATATTTTTGTAGTCTTCAAAGCCTTCACTATTTACTCTCTCTTCCATTTTGTTGTATTTTTCGCTTAACTCGTAAACTTGTTCTGAAATTTCACTTCTGACTATTTCCATTTCTTCGGCTATCAATTTTCGTAATTTTTTCTTTGTCAGTGTAGTTTTTTTCGTGCCAATGAATACCAAATACCTTATCAATTGATGTTACTATTCTACGTTCTCCAGTCATTTTAGTTGAACAATGAACTCTAAAAGGACACCCCATAAATGCACATACAATATCGTTGTGCCCATTAAGTCGACACCTTATTTTTTCAACAAAAAGATGTATTCCAACATATTCAAAATTCATTTGAAAATACTGTATTTTTTAGATTTTACCACAATTTATATGAAATTTTTACTTGCTTGAAACAAATTTAAATTAAACTAAATATTTACTGTAACGCTAATTTTAAATAATTATAAGGTGAAATACATTATATGAAATAAATATGTCTAATATTGGATTGTATGGCTTGTAAAAAACAATTCCTTGGAACTTAAATCCAACATATTCATTTTTTGAACATTTATAAAAAATAATAATTATAATTTAAAAACTATTACTTAAACAAGAAACAAAATTGTTTTTATTTTATCTGTTTTTTCTTTTTTTTGTAAAAACAAAATAAAATACACTGTAAAAAAACGTTGAATAAAGGTGCTCCTGAATAAAGTGAACTTGTTTTTGTGAAGCGCCCATTTGAAGAGCGATATTTTTTAACCAAAACTAAAAATAAAGTTGTCTTTAGAACGGAAATTAATGTTATATTAACTAAAAATGCCCGCTCTTGAAAGAACAAAATTACCATATTTTACCGCTCTTGGGAGGTTTTACTGTAATTTGCCAATTTATTAATAAAATTGTTTTTTTTATAAAAATAATGTTATTTTTATATAAATTACCATAAGTTTTTTATTGTAAAATTTGAAAACCCAAATTTTATTAGCCCATGGTTGTTTAACTTTAAAATATTTAGTTCTACATACACGTATTCCAATCTGATAATTTCAACCCCGTTAATCGACAAAATGATATCTTGAAATATCCATCGTCAAATTTAGAAGGAATAGATATTTTATCAATAAACCCTTTACACCCAAGAAAACATCCAGCACCAAACGTCACCACGTTTTCTGGAATGTGAATTATATATATGTACCCACAATTTGAAAAAGCTTTGTTTTTAATTTCAATTACACTCTCTTGTATTTTTATTTCACCAATTTGTTCACATCTTTTAAAACATTTTTCCTCGATACATTTCACATTTGGAAATTTAAAACCATTAAGGTAAAAACAGCCAGAAAAGCACTCCTTTCCTAAATATGAAACAGCATTTGGAAGATCGATTGAAAAAAGATTAAAATCATCTTTAAAACAACAATTCCCAAGTGCAGTTACCATCTTTGGAATTGTTAGAGATGTAATAGAAATACACCCATAAAAACATGAATTACCAAGTGATTTTATTTTGTCTGGCAAATTAACCATTTTGAGACTAGTGCAAAACTTAAAACATGTATCTCCAATTTCTTTCATATTGTTAGGTATATCAACTGTTTCAAGAGATTCACACATTTCAAAAGCCGACTTTCCAAAAGAAATAACATAATTTGAAAACTTAAGAGATATTAAAGATTTACAATTCAAAAAACAAAAATCGGGAGTTTTGATCACACCAAGAAGGCTAACAGATGTAAGTAAATCACAATTGGAAAAACGATAATCACCTATTTTTGTAATGTTTTGTTGGAGTGTAATTGTTTGCAAATGTTTTGTACATGAAAAACAATAATCGCTAAGTGTATTGATAGAACTAGGAATGTTAAAATGTTGATCGTCAAAGTGTAAGTAAAAATAGTCACCTATATAATTCGCCGTTTTTGGAATTTCATTGCCAAAATTAAAACAATCATCAACAGTGTAAGTAACATTTTTAAATATTAATTTATTGTTTTTTAAATTGTGAAACTGAATTTTGTAAGGAACTTGATACCAAACAATTATTTTGTCAAATTTATATTTTTCTTTTGAATGATTTTCAACGTAAAACAATTTTTGATCATTTTGATTCCATAAATTTAAAATTTTTAAATTGGGGAAGTGTATAAAATTATGTTGAGTGAGAGGAATGGGATTTGAC